AGGGAGCAAAACTAGACCTTCTTTTGGGTAATAAGGCAGGGCAGGTAAAAGTGGGGGAACACTTTGGGTCTACTGATCATAATTCTATTAGTTTCAAAATGGTTATGGAAAAGGATTAGCCTTCCATAAAAGTTAAAGATTTTAATTAGAGTAAGGCAAACTTTAATGGTACGAGACAAGAACTTTCAAAAGTTGGTTCGAGCAGACTGTTCGTAGGTAAAAAGGACGTCTGACAAGTGGGAGGCGTTCAAGAGTGTGATAAGAGTTCAGAGGCATTATGTTCCTGTTAGAGTGAAGGGTAAGGCTGGTAAGATTAAGGAACAATGGATGAATAAAGATATTGAGGTTAAAAGAGAATCTTATTTTAGATATAGACAAATTGGTTCAATTGAATCTCTTAATCAATATAAAGAGTGTAGGGGCATTCTTCAGAGAGAAATCAGGAAGGCAGCGAGGGGATATTATATAGCATTGGCAGATAAGGTTAAGGATAATCCAAAGAGATTATATGAATACATTAAGAGCAAGAAGGTAACTGGAGAGATGGTAGGGCCTCTTAAAGATCAAGGAGGTCGTCTTTGTGTTGAACCCCAGGAGATTGGAGAGATACTAAATGAATATTTCACGTCAGCTTTTACTGCGGAGAAAGAAATGGACTCTAGAGAATGCAGAGAAATAAACTTTGATGTTTTAAAAACAGTTCACATTACAGGAGAGGAAGTTTGGGAGGTCTTAGAGAACATAAAGGTGGATAAATCTATGGGACCTGATCTAATGTATCCCAGGATGTTGTGGGAAGTAAGGGAGGAAATTACGAGACGCCTTGCAGAAATATTTGCATAATCTATAACTATGGGTAAGGTGCCTGATGACGGGAGGGTGACTAATGTTGTACTTTTTTTGAAGAAAGTTTGTAAGGAGAAACTGGGGAACTATAGACCTGTGAGTCTGACTTTGGTTGTGGGTAAATTGTTGGAGGTGATTATAAAAGATAGGAATTATGGACATTTAGAGAGGCTAAAAATTGATTAGGGATAGTCAGCATGGTTTCGTGTGAGGAAAATAGTGTCTCAAAAACTTGCTTGAGTTTTCTGAAGTTACCAAAAAGATTGATGATGGCAGTGCAATAGACGTTGTTAATTTGGATTTTAGTAAAGCCTTTGACAAGGTTCCATGTAGTAGACTGATTAATAAAGTTAGGTCACGTGGGATTCAGGGTGAGCTTGCCAATTGAATACATAATTGGCTTAAAGGCAGGAGATAGAGAGTAATGATGGAGGGTTGCTTTTCGGACAGGAGGCCTGTGACTAGCGGTGTTGCACGGGAACAGTGCTGGGTCCTCTTCGTTTTTCATTTATATAAATGATTTGGATGCGAGTATAGAAGACATGGTTAGTTAGTTTGCAGATGACACGAAAATTAGTGGCATAACAGACAGTGAAGAAGGTTTTCTAAGATTGCAAAGGAATCTTGATCAAATGTGTCAATGGCTGAAAAACAGCAGATGGAGTTCAATCTGAAATAAATGCGAGGTATTACATTTTGATACAACAAACAAGGGTGGGGCTTATACAAGTAATGGAAGGGCCTTGGATAGTATTATAGAATAGAGGGACCTGGGGTGCAGGTACATAATTCTTTGAAGTTTGCGTCACATATAGACAGGATGGTTAAAAAGGCGTTTAGCATGCTTGTCTTCATTGCTCAGTCCTTTGAGTACAGGAGTTGGGAAGTCATGTTGTGGTTGTACTAGACATCATAGAACATAGAACAGTACAGCACAGTACAGGCCCTTCGGCCCATGATGTTGTGCCGACCTATTATCCTACTAAGATTAATCTACCCTGCATACCCTACATTTTACTATCCTCCATGTGCCTATTCAAGAGTCACTTAAAAGTCTCTAAAGTATCTGACTCCACTACCACCTCCGGCAGCGCATTCCACATACCCACCACTCTCTGTGTAAAGAACCTATCTCTGACATCTCCCCTATACCTTCCTCCAATCACCTTAAAATTATGTCCCCTCGTAATAGTCATTTCCGCCCTGGGAAAAAGTCTCTGACTATCCACTCTATCTATGCCCTCTCATTGTCTTGAACACCTCTATCAAGTCACCTCTCATCCTTCATCACTCCAATGAGAAAAGCCCTAGCTCCCCCAGCCTTTCCTCATAAGACCTGCCCTCCAGTCCAGGCAGCATCCTGGTAAATCTCCTCTGCACCCTCTCTAAAGCTTCCACATCTTTCCTGTAATGAGGTGACCTGAACTGAACACAATTGGTGAGGCCTTTTCTGGAATACTGTGTCCAGTTCTGGTCGCCTAGTTTAGGAAGGATATTATCAAGCTGGAGAGGGTTCAGAAGAGATTTACCAGGATATTGCTAGGTATGGAAGGTTTGAGTAACAAAGAAAGGCTGGATAGGCTGGGATTTCTTTCACTGGAGCATAGGATAGTGTGGCAACCAGAATTGCACACAGCATTCCATCTGTGGACTAACTAATATTTTAAAAAGTTGAAAGAAGACTTCTTTGTTCCTATATTCCACACCTTGGCTAATGCAGGCAGGCATCCTGTATGGCTTTTTCATCACCCAGTCTATGTGCGCTGACACTATCAGGGATCTATGGATTTTTACACCATAGTTCCTTTGTTCCTCAGTACCCCTTAGGGACATACCATTCATTGTTTATATCCTTCCTTTATCAGACCTCCCAAAATGCAGCATTTGCACTTATAAGGAGTAAATAATATCTATCACACTGCTCTCCCCAATTTACCAGCTGATCAATATCAGACTGTAGCCTGAGACCATCCTCCTCACTATCAACAACACCACCAATTTTTGAGTCATCTACAAACTTACTAATTATACCTTCTATATTCACATCCAAATTGTTAACGTACATAAGCAGCAAGGAACGCTGTGGTACATCGCTGGTCACAGGCTTCCAATTACAAAAACAACCCCCCACCATCACATTTTGCCTTCTATTTGCAAGCCAATTTTGGATCCAGTTGACCAACTTGCCTTGGATCCCAGATAACAAGGTGTAGAGCTGGATGAACACAACAGGCCAAGCAGCATCAGAGGAGCAGGAAGGTTGATGTTTCGGGCCTAGACTGGCTCTTACTTTTGGGACCAGCCTTCCATTTGGGACCTTGTCAAAGTCCTTACTGATGTCCATGTAAGCCATATCAACTGCACTACCCTCATCAATATATTTAGTCAACTTTTCAAAAAAACTCAAATTAATCAGACAGAGCTCTCTTGAAAAATATCTGTGCTGACTAGCCCTGATCAATCCGACTTTCCAAGTATTGTTTAATCTTGTCCCTCAGAAATTTTTCAGATAATTTCCCTACCACTGACATCAGACTAACTGGTCTGTAACTGCTCAAATGTTATTAGTCAAGAGGGATGTGGAATAAATATCCTTTGTTGCTACATGGTCTTTAAACCTGGGTAATCTGGTGGTCTTACAAATCGAAAGAAAGCAAAATCATTTTGCAGGATTACCAACTGCATCCACATTTTAATCTTTCCTAACGGTATTTAGGAATAAGAGCAACTAATCACAATTGCACCTAGTTGCATTGTCACTACATTGTCTATTTTGAAAAAAATATTGAAATGTTTCTTTTCACACACATGACTGTAAATTATAACATGACCAAGGCTTTACATTATTTGTTCCTTTGCATGTGAACAGAGAAGTACATGAAAATATATTAAGCTTTCTCAATCAGGTTGCATTTCAATGCTATGCTTAATGCTTGCCATTTACTCCCTAACAACAGCATTACTTTGTGCATAAAAACACCTTGGTATAGGTACAGGGGTGATGAAAACAAATATAATATTGGTGGCAAACATTTGGGCCTGGATTTTCATTTGAGTCAGGAACTTCTCTGGTATGCCAGACCTGCCTCAGGACAATGTGTTCCAAAAGGCAAGATCATTTTCTGGGGCCGTGTGGTAGGTAGTGCAGGATGGAGTGGGCATGCTGTCCCAGTACACAGATCAGAGGTGGTCACATCAGCTGCCTAATGCCGAGGCAAAGGGTTCTTTGTTTCTCTGAGACTTAGTTGTTTTCTTAAATATTAGGTCTCCTTACTCTGAGCCTATATCCCTCACCCATTCCACATACCTATAAATACCAATTTATGATCCATTTACTTCAATGGCCCCTCATACCTTCCATGCCAACCTATGTCCCCATGCCAAATCATGACTCCCTCACCCACTATACTGCAATTAAACATATTTTTACATCTATTATAGTGTTCACTGCATAAAAAAGTTCCACTCATAAAACCCCATTCAAAATATTTAAATCCATGCAAATGTTTAATCCCCTATAGAAACAAACACAATTGTAGTCATAATTCCATAAAGTCAACTCATCCATGAATAACATTTCTAAGCTGTCAAGCCATGCACGCATTATGTCACCTTCTCCCATCACCATGATAAGCACAGGATGTGAAGCGCAGTGCAGCTTATTAACAATATAGTTATAATTTTGGGTTATCATTACAAATTGTGACTAAGACAGTTAGAAGACGTTTTCTAACTCTCATGGACAGAAGCATACAGTTCCTTATCAATTTTTAACCATTTCAACAACTTGACAGTTCTCGAGCTTACAACCCCCTTCATTGAGGACGTCTCTAAAGTCCTGTAACTTCACACTGAGCTTTCACTGACTCCAATGAAGATGGGCTCTGTTTGAACTCAGCATTAAGTTCACACGGCTCTGCTGAGTTTGGGATTACCACACGTGGGAGTCACGTCTTGCCCCAGTTCTGTCACGTCCGCAATAATAGGATCTGTCAGAAATAGAATGGGAATTCTGAATCAGGGTTCCACCCATTACTGTGGAAGATCCCTGGAGAGTCTGTGAAAATCCAGGCCTGGGTCTTTGAAGTTGCATACGTTAGTTAAACAATACAGCACAATGACATCGCTTAAATCACAAAAAGAATGACACAGACCTTGCATTTGGTAACTGTAAGGGGCTTGGCCTGGTTGAGGTGCACTTAAACTTGAACCATAACTCAGAAATCCTGTTTGGCCAGGAGACTGTGATTGTGTCAATCCACCTTCAGTCTTGATGCCTGCCCATAATGTACCAACACTGGTTAGTGATTTCAGATCTGCAGGTTCTTATTCAAGCGTATCAGAAACAGAGGAGTTACAATTTGATAAAATTTATAATTCTAAAAAAAAATTAAACATTTATTTGTTTTAGCTGTTTTCAATCTTTTTGATTATTTAAAAAAAAATTCTATGAAAAAGGAATGTATCTGTTTACCATAGGATGGGATTCCATAATGTTGTCCTGATTGTGGATATGTTGCATAAATTGATGCTTGCTGCATTCCTGTAGCGTATGGTGAGTGTCCATATGATGCCATGGTTTGTGATGAAGGTGTAGGAAGAATATGTGGGTATGACCTGCTGTTTATGACAAATAACAGACAAAGAGCAGAGATTTACAAATGATTACAGTCTATATAAATGGGAACAAAAATGAAGTTGCTGGAAAAGCTCAGCAGATCTGACAGCATCTGTGAAGGAAAAAAGTGTTAACGTTTCGGGTCCAGTGACCCTTCTTCAGACCTGAAACGTTAACTCTGTATTTTCCTTCACAGATGCTGCCAGACCTGCTGAGCTTTTCCAGCAACTTTGTTTTTGTTCCTGATTTACAGCTAATGCAGTTCTTTCGGTTTTTGCTATACAAATGGGCATCAGCTATTGATTTACAGCTAATTCTACCACTTAGATGTCTAATTAAAACAGTCCATAACTAATATACACTAAAGAAATGCTGGAAATCTGAAACAATAAAAACAGAAATTACTGGAGAAACTCAGCAGGTCTGGCAGCATCTGAAGAGAGAGAAAACTGAGTTAACATGTCAACCTTTCTTCAGAATTTCACTTTTTCTTGGATAGATGCTGCCAGACCTGCTGAGTTTCTCCAGCAATTTCTGTTTTTGCTTCAGATTTCCAGCATCCACAGTTAATAACTAACGTTATTCTGTCGAGGTTTAAATTTGTAAATGAACAATTTGGAGACAACGATCAGTTCAAGACATGGAGACATACTTTCCACACAAGTAATGAAGCTAAAATATGTTGGAAGAGAAGAAGCTTGTTATGAATTTAAATTGCATTTTTTGCTGCATGCTTTTTAAAGAATAATAGAAATCTTACTTGGAAGGATAAATCTGAGGAGAAAAGTGATGAGTTTGTCTTGGGCTAAAGCCGCTACCGATTGCTGTAGAGAAGTAAATAAGGGAGAGGTTGGTTACAGGATACATTTATTGTTAACATAATTCTGAAGGCTTTAGAAATGTTTTACTTCAGTCATCTTCATTAATGCCTCTCAACAATTTGTTTATATTTTAACTGATCTGTAATCTAGCAAAAGTTTTCATTCGATTCTGCTTTTCCATCAATTTGTGTAATTTGCAAAGGCAGTCTTTCTTGTTGTTTCTCAGTTTTGTTTCCATTCACTCCCGAGAACAGTGGGGCACAGCAAAGCTAAACTGTAATGCTGCTCTCAGCTGACACAGTATCACATGTTCCGGCTCAAATCATGGAATAGCTATCAATGACCGAGACCCTGTAAAGCTTCCATCTTCACCAAGGCTCACAGCACTGGATTACTGCCTAACTTTCACTTGGCATTGAATGATGTCTACAGGGAGAATCCTGCTGTGCACTATCTGATTCAACTAAAACTTAAGCTAACCCTGTCTCTACTTCCTTAGCTCCAGCATGCTAAAGTCAATTACAGCACCATTTCAGAAGCTAATTCAATACTGGTGAATTAACCAATACAGTAATATTTACTTTTGCTAGATAGGGCTCTTGTGGTGCAGTAGCAGTGTCCCCACCTCTGAGCTAGGAGACATAGGATCAAGTCTCACCTACTACATAGGTGAGTAATAATATCTCAGAACAGGACGATTAGAAAATATCCCAATCTATGTATTGATTTGTGTCAGTTGTTTCTTAGGGTAGTGGTAGTGTCCCTACCTCTGAGCTGGCAGATTTGGGTTCAAGTCCCACCAGAAGTCTCTGAATGGGTTGATTAGAAAAATATCTGCAACTGTCAGTTCTACGGGCTACTGTGGTGCAGTGGTACTGCCGCTTACCTCTGAGCCTGGAGTCCTGGGTTCAAGTCCCAACTGCTCCATTGGTGTGTGGTAGCGTGTCCAAAGGTATTTTCTCATCAACCTGCTCAGGGATATTATTACTCACCTCTGGTGCTGGGTCACCTGCTTCAGAGGTAGGGACACTACTACAATGCCACTAAAACCCTCGATAGCATCCCTGAACAAGATGATTAGAAAATATCTACGTCTGTTAGTCTGTGCCTTGTGTCGGGCTTAGCATCTGAACGGAACAATTGTTGGAAACTGCATGCTTTCTACCGATAAATTTCAATTCAAGTGTTTCACAGTGTTAGAATTGGGTATAAATTGACGGGCAGATCACCGTCTCGTTACAGGACTTGCCTGATCTGAATTAATGGAAACAAAAATCAGGAGCAAGAGGTTCTACAACAGGAAGGCAATCTGTTCAGCAGTTTAGTCCCAAACAATGGTGGAAATGGCCCCACTGGACAGAAAATCATGGACTTCATGCACACACAACATGGATAAAAGCTTGGACATTGGAGTGGGATATGAAATCCAAGAAAAATTTAAGCACGTCAGGAAAACGCCGATTTGTACGTTAACTGCAATGCAGTGGGCTGCTTGTGACTAACCCCTCGGGAAAAGCAGGTTAGCCACAGTACATTAATAGGTCAAATGTAGTGACATTAACATAGCTTTTCAAGTTTCATTTTGATTTTGCTTCCTTGAACTCACCATTGAAAGCAAGCTGAGTACACAGTGACAGAACAAATTGGGAAAAAGGTATTGTGGCTTTCCAAAAGAAATGCATTTAGAAGACAGAGATAGTAGGAACTGCAGATGCTGGAGAATCCGAGACAACAAGGTGCAGGGCTGGATGAACACAGCAGGCCAAGCAGCATCATAGGAGCAGAGAGGCTGACGTTTCGGGCCTAGACCCTTCATCAGAAAAGGGGGAGGGGAAGGGGGTTTTGAAATAAATAGGGAGAGAGTGGGAGGCGGATAGAAGAGGGATAGAGGAGAGGATAGGTGGAGAGGAAACAAACAGGTCGAAGAGGCGGGGATGG